TTCCCAGCTTATATTGGTTAGGACTTGGTTTACTTGGTCCCACTTTATGTTTTTGTTATTGAAGCTGAATTTGATGAATGCTCCCTTGTGACTAATCTCATTATGTCGGTCTGGGGCTCCACGCATACATGTCTGAACCTCAATTATGTTGTGATCTGAGTATATTGTTTTTGATATGGTGACATTTCTTATCACATCATCATTGTTAGTGAAGATGAGGTCTAGTGTATTCTTCAGTCTAGTAGGCTCTATTATTTGCTGGTTTAAATTGAATTTTGTGCAGAGATTTAAGAGCTCGTGTGAGTGTGAGTTTTCATCAGAGCTGCCTCCTGGTGTTATTACTGCAACAATATTATTTGCTATATTCCTCCATTTTAGGTGCCTTAAGTTGAAATCCCCCAGGAGCAAGATGTTGGGTGCAGGAGCTGGAAGATTTTCCAGACAGTGGTCAATTTTTAACAGCTGTTCCTGGAATTGCTGGGATGTTGCATCTGGAGGCTTGTAGACTACCACAATGACTAGGTTTTGGTTCTCGACCTTTACTGCTAAAACTTCCACTACAACATTTGAGGCATTAAGCAGTTCTGTGCAAACAAGTGACTCTGCAATGTACTGGCCAACCCCCCCTTTTGCCTGTTCACTTTGTCACCTCTGTATAGGTTGTAACCTGGGATCCATATTTCGTTGTCCAAGTGATTCTTTATGTTGGTCTCAGTGAAAGCCGTGAACATTGCCTTTGCCTCTGCAAGCAGTCCACAGATGAAAGGTATTTTGTTGTTTGTTGCTGGCTTTAGACCCTGTATATTTGCAAAGAAGAATGTCATCGGACTGGTGGTATTGTTGGTACTGGGGGGGGGATTTTTTTTCCGGCATTAGTATCTGTATCTGTTGTTTGGATTGGAGCCCATCGCTGGGGTTCCACTCCAGGAATGACTGGTTTTTGGTGTCGATTTCTGCCATTTCCTGCCAGCTTTTTTTCCTTCTTGGAAACTAAAAAACCCCTCCCTCTTGAGGGCTGTGGCTACCCAGGTTTTCCCATGGCCTGGATGTTTTGTATCTTTTTGTCCCCTTTAGTTTGGTGTGCCTGGCAATTTAAGTTATAGCACAGTCTTTCCTGTACTGAAGAGGTACACATTTCAGGGTTTAAAAAGCTTACAGGAAGGGAGTTTGCATTTTCCTATGTCATATGGGCACGGCATTTTCTAGGGTGGTCATAGTTGCACGTCCGTCTGTTTTTCCAGATTTCCCATGTCTGCAGATACCAAGTGCATAGTATGTGCACAGGCTTGGTTTCCCTTTGCCTTGGGTTTCTGTGACTGTATTCCCTGTTGGTGCATGTTTCCCTGTCTTATTCCTATCCTCCCTAGCACCAACAATGGAGCTCCCACCAGTTGTTTTTGGTAATATATCCTCACTATTCCTAGTGGAGTCCTTTTGTTTGCTATTTCCTGGGGGTATTTCTAGTTTGCAATATTGGTTTTAAATCTTATCTTTGACTACACTTGTTTCCCACTACGGTTTCCTTCCCTATTAGGTCATTTATATTTTATTCCTTCCTGGTAAAAATTCCCGATTTTACCTGGACAAAATCTCCAGCTTCACCATTACTGTCTCCCAGGACAGCACCTCCAGCTTCACCATTACTGTCTCTCAGGACAGAAACCCCCGCTTCACCATTACTGTCTCCCAGGACAGCACTATCAGCCCACATTTATGATACAGGACATCACTCCAGCCTTACAGTTTTGACTACTTTGGCCAGTATTCAAGGGAGTACATTCAGCCCAGGATTTTTATTTCCATCTGTTGTAGAATGCTTTCAGGTTTTCTATGAAAGCAGCTTTGATGTTATCCTTTTTAATATCCTTGTGATTTTAGTCACAGATTTATCATTGGGCATACGCAAAAATTCCCTGTTTTAATACTTGCTTGTAGCTAGTTCTTGGATATCTGCACAGGGGCGTGGCATCAATTTCCACAAAAAATGACAATTTATCCATGTGGGAAGCCCGTTTGTTTGATTGACTGCAGACTACACAGAGCTTCATAATGATTTGAATGGTTTATTTACTGGGAATTCTACTAGCAACCTCTTGAATACTCTATTTAAAAACCTCCTTAAATGAGGCTCTAGCTATTTGTATTTCTATTTCTAACTGTACTTGTTTATTGGACTGCTTACCGTATACGTCCTGATTTATATTTATTGTTTGTGTTTGATAAGGGCGCCTACAACCCATCCGTTTACAGTCTGCTTTATTGTTTCCAAAGAATCGTTTTAAACCCGTAAGGTTGGACCAGTGAAGGGTTCGGACCAGTCGAGGGTTCGGAACCAATCTGATCTGATCAGTGGGTCACTTATTTAAAACATACTGGTCGGTGATTTGGGCTAACACATGAAGGATCTACTTGAAATTATCTACCCGAGTAATATGTGATTTGATTGATACAAAAGTATAACTTGCGTGTTGAAGAACCGGTGATTGCTGGCAGCTCCTACAATGACGAACAGTCGAGCCTCAACCCTTGTTTATCAATCGCTGTATCTAGCTTTTCTAGGTTTTTTTTTGTCTCCACCACAATAAATGCTATATTATCACTATAGCTGACTGGTGGAAATTTTGGAGGAAGGACGCTTTTTCTGTAGTAATAATTGCTTCTCGTTGTGTATATTGCTGGTAACTACAGGTTATATGAGATTCATAGTATACATCTGGTATTTCAAGAAAAAAGAAACTAATGAAAGTCACTCCACTCCACTAAGTACCATTATAATACTGGTTAGTTGCTACTACAACACTGTATTCTGCTATTCACTGGTATCACTAGATTATATGCATGTACACTAGCAGGCCAGGAAGATCTGGTATTTCAAGAAAAAAGAAACTAATGAAAGTCACTCCACTCCACTCCACTAAGTACCATTATAATACTGGTTAGTTGCTACTACAACACTGTATTCTGCTATTCACTGGTATCACTAGATTATATGCGTGTACACTAGCAGGCAGGAAGATTATTAAAACAGCTGACCTCTGTGGTAAGTTTCTGGTGACTTCTGGCACCTGCCTCTATAGGCTTATCACTTCATTTACAAATTCACCTGTTTTCAAATGACACTTTAGCCTTTATCATCTATATTCTAGGGAGCCACTGTAGTATACACTATACACTATATATACACAATGTTATCAGGGAGACTTTCTTTCCTCTGACAAAGAAAAGTTCTACTATTATTATTTTGCACACGGCACTCAGGCCTATGATTCCCCTCTGGCAGTAAACTCTGCTAGGTAGTGCACACTAATTCTCCTTTTTTGACTCATTATATAATGTTTTCCGCCCAAGATTGGTTCCAGGCGCTAGAGGGATGTATCGTATAGGATTGATGGCACAAATTGAAGTTCTAGCACTTAAGAGCGACCGTGAAAACACGAGAAAACCCGGAGCACAACGAGGCATGCTGACACGCTGACACATACGGGTGTACACCTAAATTCTAGCCCCCTCAGATCTAGTGAGAGAAAGCTGGTAGGCCTACATATGAAAGAATGGGTCTATGTGGTCAGTGTGTGCAGTATAAAAAAAGTCCTGCAGCACACAGTGCATAATGAGAAAAAAGAAACTTTGATCATGTTTTTGGAATAAAACAGCGACTTTGCACTGTATTTTCATATGGTATTTATTGTTGTATTCTTGTTTTCTTGGTCTCATTTTATAGAATGGAACACATATTACAGAAATTGAGATGATTTTGACTGGTTTTACAATGAAAAGTACCCTGAAATTGAGTTTAAAGTAGCAGAAATGTTCGATTTTTACCAAAGTTCAAAAGTAAACAAATCATGCCAAGCGTCCAATACACATCAAATGGTGAGTCTGATATTCTTTCACAAGTGCGCTGATATTATTTATACCATTTCTACACTAATGCAGTAGTCCGTATAACAGTAAATCTTCTATTTTTTGTAAGAATAAAAATTCAAAGTGGAAAGCCAAAGAAATATAAGAGGGGCCTGGGGATGTGACTGACGAACAGAGAACTTGTTATTTTAGTGCCAGGAATGTCTTTCTTGTTTATTCTGGACCCTATTCAGAAATTAGCATCTTTTGAAATTTGTGTGAAATTGGCAAAATTGCTAAATTCTGACCACTTTATTGGATAGTTGAAATCGGTAAATGGGTGGTTTCTTGTACTCATTCGATAGAAAAAGTGGAGTTCTAGCGAAATATTCATGATTTTTGTCGACTAGTACATTGGAATTGGCCGAAAATAGGGCTCAAAGTGGGCAAAATCGCCAATGCATAAACATCGTCGTGACCGCTAACTTTGCGAGAGCATAATTCCGTAAGTTTTCCATCAAATTTCATACTTTTTGTGTCATTATGATCGGGAAAAGATTCTCTATCTTTTCATAAGAAAAAATATTTTTTTTTTTTTAAATTTTGGTAACCCTGAGAACAAGTCTCTGAGAGGGCCTGGCGACCCCCAAAGGGTTGAAGGAGAGTTTTGGGATATTTGCTGTTTAGAGTGACATATAAACTGTCACAGCTGCTCACCTGTGGAGAGAGAGTGATAGTGTGAATGATGGTAAAAGTGTTTCTTTTTCAGGTCACCCTGCCTCAGTAGGAGATGGCCAGTGTGTAAAAAAAAAAAAAGAATACAAATTTTATGTAAATTTATATGAAAAATATTCCTTAATTTAAGTAAAATCAGCATTTGAGCATGTTATTTGAAGCACTAAACTGTTATACTGACATCTGTCTAGCAACATCAGTTGACCTTGTTCATACAGGAAAGGCATTTTTATTGTCTAATGAGAGTGGCTTGGAGGAAAGTTAGTAATTTGACCAGTCATCCAATTCCATTATAAGGAAGTATGGAGTAACTAAAGCAAATTATTTATTTAAATCTTATTATGACAGAAGAACTTTTAATTGGAGCAAATGTGTCAGTGCTTAGACTCTTTTTTAGCAACCTACAAATGCTTTCCCAACAGGTGAATGATATCAAATTTCATCCAGTTCATGGTACACTGGCTACAGTAGGTTCTGATGGCAGGTTTAGCTTTTGGGACAAAGATGCTCGCACAAAACTGAAGAACTCAGAAGCAATGGAACAGCCCATCTCATGTTGTGCATTCAACCACAATGGCCAAATATTTGCATATGCTGTGTCATATGACTGGTCAAAGGTAAGATAAAGTTTCCAGTGGTCCTAGTACACCCTATCTTCCATTTCAATATTATACCATTGTACTGTATTTGTAAGGAAAAAACCTGCATTATCTTTTTAGCACAGCTTTATTTACAGTTTACAATGTTGATGGCATTAAGAAATCTTTGTTATCCATTTTCCAGTATTGTTTTATGACCTTATACATGATTATCACATTTCCTTCTATTGACCAGTAAGGGCATTTTTTGTATTTTTAGTCATCATCATGTCCCATTAGCTAAGTTTATCTAAATCCTTACATGGTATTGACTAATTATTTAGAATATATTTTACATAGGATTGTTTGTGCCATCTACAGATGTTTGTATGACATTCTTATTTTGAGAAATAATTTCTCTCTCTTTCAACAAACCGGCTGTATGCCACCAAAGCAGAGTGGGAAACAACAGGTTTAAAATATTATCAGGGCAAGTGTTGATCTGGATGGGACCCCAGTGGTGACATTCTCTTGAGGATATTTTTTGTCTTACCACTTTTTACACAAGCTTTTTAAATAGAAAACCTCTCATCCACTAGTAGATTAAATTTTATTTGTCCTGTGTTAAGTAGTTTCCATATCAGTTACTATGGAACTCTATTTTTTTCTAAATCTAAGTAAATAAATTGGTTATTCATTTGTTTCCTTAATAATTTGTTACTTTTAATAGAAATGTAGCAAAGTTGATGCACAGATCTTTTCTTATACCTATCTGCAGATTCTTGATCTAGTGTTTTATCCATTTTTCTCTAATAGGGTTTTCCAGCATATCAAGAAGAGTGCTTGTTGGTGTATTTTTTTTTAATCAGTGGGAAGTGCTAGTGGTCATATGGCACCATCAGTTCAATCTTAAGGAAATGAAGGATAAGTCTAATTCCTTGGATCAAGAACTCCTCACTGGCACCAGGGCACACCTCTCTTACAGGGCGCCTGTCAGTTAAACACGCCTATAGTTTAAGTTTTCCCCTATCATCCTTTTTATATTAGTAACATAATGTCTGTCACTTTTTTTTTCACTTATATCCTTGTTTCTCTTCTTGTACTGAAATTCCATAAATTTAATTCTTCCCTATCACTTTTTTATTATTATTAGCATAACGTTTGCCATTTTATCGTCATGTAATGAAATTCCATAAACTTTTTAGAGAAGATAACAGGTCTAGTTCTCCTGCACATTTTTTTTTTTTTTAGACTTCCAGGGTGATGCCCTATTTGGTCCTGTTGCTTTTTCTTTTGTTGATATCCATTATATATTTTATGATCTTCATTTCAGCTGACTATGGAGGAGGGATGGGGGGGGTTCAAATTCACTTCATTTAAGATGTCTTGTATAGAACATTCAGGAACTTCAAAGTTAGTCTCTCTCACATTTTTTTCCAATTTGGTGATTCTTTGCATTATGTCTTTCACAGACTGCTTGCTTTTTACAGATCTGAGCAAGAGATTTGACTGCATCTTATGCTTAATCATTATTTTCTTTAAAGTTTTCTCCACTTATCTTAAATTGGTGTATTAATTTCTGACTTGTGTGAATCTGGTAAGTGTCTGGCTTGAAGCACTTCCTGTATTAGTTCCAAGTTCTTAATTTCTTTCTCATGGCTTTCCAGCTTCTGTTAAATCGTTATGATTTAAATTTTAGAATAAAGTTTTTGATTCTGTTTTCATGTACATGTATATATATTTCAGAATTCTTCAGTAATGTTTTTATCTATCTCTGTATTGTACATACTTTGCTTTTTTCAAATATTAATTTATGATAAGAAAGAGATGATTGTTGATGTTATGAATGAGAAGCTGGATGTCCTGGTTTTAAGTGAAACAAAGATGAAGGAGGTGGGAGAGTTTTAGTGGGGAGAAATAAATGGGATTAGGTCAGGGGTTTCAAATAGATTTAGAGCTAAAGAAGGAGTAGCAATAATGTTGAAGGATAAGTTATGGCTGTAAAAAAGGTAATATAAATGTATAAATTCAAGGATTATGTGGAGTAAAATAAGGGTTGGATGTGAAAAGTGGATTATAGCAAGCATTTATGCACCTGGAGAAGAGAGAAGCATAGAGAAGAGAGAGAGATTTTGGGAAATATTGAGTGAGTGTGTGGGGAGTTTTGAACCAAGTGTGAGAGTACTTTTGGTTGGGGATTTCAATGCTTAAGTGGGTAAAAATGTTGTGGAGGGAGTAGTAGGTAAATTTGGGGTGCCAGGGGTAAATGAGAAATGGGGAGCCTTTAATTGAGCTATGTGTAGAAAAAGGTTTGAAAAAGAGGATAAATAAGTATACAAGGTATGATATAGCACATAATGAAAGTAGTTTGTTAGATTATGTATTGGTGGATAAAAGGTTGATGGGTAGGCTTCAGAATGTACATGTTTATAGAGGAGCAACTGATATCGGATCATTATCTAGTTGTAGCTACAGTTAGAGTAAGAGGTAGATGGGACAAAAGGAAAATGGCATCACCATGTCAGAGAGAGGTAAAAGTGCATAAACTAAGGGAGGAGGAAGTTAGGGTGAGATATAAGCATCTATTGGCAGAAAGGTGGGCTAGTGCAAGTATGAGTAATAGGGGGGTTGAAGAGGGTTGGAATAGTTTTAAAAATGCAGTATTAGAATGTGAGGCAGAAGTTTGTGGCTATAGGAGGGTGGATGCAGGAGGAAAGAGGAGTGATTGGTGGAATGATGAAGTACATGGTGTAATAAAAGAGAAAAAGGTAGCTTATGAGAGGTTTTTACAAAGCAGAAGTGTTACTAGAAGAGCAGAGTATATGGAGAGTAAAAGAAAGGTGAAGAGAGTAGTGAGAGAGTGCAAAAGGAGAGCAGATGATAGAGTGGGAGAGGCACTGTCAAGAAATTTTGATGAAAATAAGAAAAAATTGCCTATGAGAGCATAGGCAATGGGGTCGAAGAGGTATGGGGTAGGTTTAAAAATGTAGTGTTAGAGTGTTCAGCAGAAGTTTGTGGTTACAGGAAAGTGGGTGCGGGAGGGAAGAGGAGCGATTGGTGGAATGATGATGTAAAGAGAGCAGTAAGGGAGAAAAAGTTAGCATATGAGAAGTTTTTACAAAGTAGAAGTGATGCAAGGAGGGAAGAGTATATGGAGAAAAAGAGAGGTTAAGAGAGTGGTGAAGCAATGTAAAAAGAGAGCAAATGAGAGAGTGGGTGAGATGTTATCAACAAATTTTGTTGAAAATAAGAAAAAGTTTTGGAGTGAGATTAACAAGTTAAGGAAGCCTAGAGAACAAATGGATTTGTCAGTTAAAAATAGAAGAGGAGAGTTATTAAATGGATAATTAGAGGCATTGGGAAGATGGAGGGAATATTTTGAGGAATTGTTAAATGTTGATGAAGATAGGGAAGCTGTGATTTCGTGTATAGGGCAAGGAGGAATAACATCTTGTAGGAGTGAGGAAGAGCCAGTTGTGAGTGTGGGGGAAGTTCGTGAGGCAGTAGGTAAAATGAAAGGGGATAAGGCAGCCGGGATTGATGGGATAAAGATAGAAATGTTAAAAGCAGGTAGGGATATAGTTTTGGAGTGGTTGGTGCAATTATTTAATAAATGTATGGAAGAGGGTAAGGTACCTAGGGATTGGCAGAGAGCATGCATAGTTCCTTTGTATAAAGGCAAAGGGGACAAAAGAGAGTGCAAAAATTATAGGGGGATAAGTCTGTTGAGTATACTTCGTAAAGTGTATGGTAGAGTTATTATTGAAAGAATTAAGAGTAAGACGGAGAATAGGATAGCAGATGAACAAGGAGGCTTTAGGAAAGGTAGGGGGTATGTGGACCAGGTGTTTACAGTGAAACATATAAGTGAACAGTATTTAGATAAGGCTAAAGAGGTCTTTGTGGCATTGATGGATTTGGAAAAGGCATATGACAGGGTGGATAGGGGGGCAATGTGGCAGATGTTGCAGGTGTATGATGTAGGAGGTAGGTTACTGAAAGCAGTGAAGAGTTTTTACGAGGATAGTGAGGCTCAAGTTAGAGTATGTAGGAAAGAGGGAAATTATTTCCCAGTAAAAGTAGGCCTTAGACAAGGATGTGTGATGTCACCATGGTTGTTTATTATATTTATAGATGGGGTTGTAAGAGAAGTAAATGCGAGGGTCTTGGCAAAAGGCGTGGAGTTAAAAGATAAAGAATCACACATAAAGTGGGAGTTGTCACAGTTGCTCTTTGCTGATGACACTGTGCTCTTGGGAGATTCTGAAGAGAAGTTGCAGAGATTGGTGGATGAATTTGGTAGGGTGTGCAAAAGAAGAAAATTAAAAGTGAATACAGGAAAGAGTAAGGTTGTGAGGATAACAAAAAGATTAGGTGATGAAAGATTGGAGATCAGATTGGAGGGAGAGAGTATGGAGGGGGTGAATGTATTCAGATACAGTGGACCCTCAACCAGCGATATTAATCCGTTCCTGAGAGCTCATCGTTAATCAAAATAATCGTTAGTCAAGTTAATTTTCCCCATAAGAAATAATGGAAATCAAATTAATCCGTGCAAGACACCCCAAAGTATTGAAAAAAAAAATTTTACCACATGAAATATTAATTTTAATACACACAAACTGAAGAAGACATGCACAGTTACATGACACTTACCTTTATTGAAGATCTGGTGATGATTGATGGGATGGGAGGAGGGGAGACCATTGATCTTGTTAGTGTTTAGAAGGGAAATCCCCTTCCATTAGCACTTGAGGTAGCAAGTCTTTTTCTGGGGTTACTTCCCTTGTTCTTTTAATGCCACTAGGACCAGCTTCAGAGTCACTGAACTTCTGTCGCACAACATATCTGTCCATAGAGGCCTGTACCTCTTGTTCCTTTATCCTAAAGTGTTTCACAACATTGTCAGTGTAATAGTCACCAGCACGGCTTGCAATAGCTGTGTGAGGGTGATTTTCATCAAAAAAGGTTTGCACTTTAAGCCACATTGCACACATTTCCTTAATCTTTGAAGTAGGCAACTTCTTCAATTTCTCTCTCCCCTCCTCCGAAGCAGTTTCCTCAGGTGTGGCCTCTTACTGTTGAAGATGATCTAGCAGCTCATCAGTGGTTTGTTCTTCATTGTCCTCCTCCACCAACTCTTCCACATCCTCCCCACTACCCTCACCAATATGAGCACTAGTTCCAGGCATTTTTTCCTGTTCACCTGGGTGTTAGTCAACTGTTGTGGGTCGCATCCTGGGGGACAAGATTAAGGACCCCCAATGGAAATAAGTTAGACAGTCCTCGATGATGCACTGACTTTTTTGGGTTATCCTGGGTGGCTAACCCTCCGGGGTTAATGGTTTCTCGGTAATTGTTTCACGTTAAGCCACACCAACAACACTCTCTCCACATCTTCGAGTAATACAGCTGATGGTGGTGCAGCAACAACAACAGCTGACTGTGGTGCAGCAGCAGCTGCACCTTTGGCAAGAACAGCTTCCTTGATTGCCGTTTTCTTACCCACAATAGTAGCGATGGTTGATTGGGGTTTATTATACAACCTGACCAGCTCAGAGACACGCACTCCACTTTCATACTTAGCAATGATCTCTTTCTTCATCTCCATAGTAATTCTCACCCTTTTTGCTGTAGGGTTGGCACTAGAAGCTTTCTTGGGGCCCATGGTGACTTATTTTGCAGAAACAAGCACCAAAAACAGTGATAATATGGAATGTACCGAATGTATCCTTAGATGTGCGCACACTGGCTGGCTTGTAAACACTGGCACACACGGGGCAGTTCAGGCCACACATGGACATGTCTCAGTACGAATCGTATCGAATACCAGGTTTTCAATCGGATGCTGAGGCGAAATTTTTGCGTTAAAATGCATCGAATACCGGATTTATCGAATACCGATGCTATCGAATACCGGGAGTCCACTGTACCAGGAAAAGTGCACGGTAGGGTTATTATTGAAAGAATTAGAGGTAAGACAGAGAGTAGGGTTTCAGATGAGCAAGGAGGTTTCAGAGTGGGTAGTGGATGTGTAGATCAAGTGTTTACATTGAAGCATATATGTGAACAGTATTTAGATAAAGGTAGGGAAGTTTTTATTGTATTTATGGATTTAGAAAAGGCATATGATAGAGTGGATAGGGGAGCAATGTGGCAGATGTTGCAAGTATATGGAATAGGTGGTAAGCTACTAAATGCTGTAAAGAGTTTTTATGAGGATAGTGAGGCTCGGGTTAGGATGTGTAGAAGAGAGGGAGACTACTTCCTGGTAAAAGTATGTCTTAGACAGGAATGTGTAATGTCACCATGGTTGTTTAATATATTTATAGATGGGGTTGTAAAAGAAGTAAATGCTAGGGTGTTTGGGAGAGGGGTAGGATTAAATTATAGGGAATCAAATACATAATGGGAGTTGACTGTTGTATCTGGGCACCTCTGCAAAAACTGATTATGTATGAGTGAGGTGAAAGTGTTGAATGATGATGAAAACATTTTCTTTTTGGGGTTTTCTTTCTTTTTGGGTGACCCTGCCTTGGTGGGATACGGCCGACTTGTTGAAAGAAACAAAAATTCCTTTTCTTAATATCTTGTTTAATCTACTTGTGATTTTCTTTGTCCTCATAATTCATACCCTGTGACATATAATAAATGCAACAGAACATAATTTCTTCCCCATGTGAGTTTAAATAATTTATAATGGTCTAATATTAAGAGCATTCTTTCTCTCACTCAAGTCGCTTGTTTAATGTACTGATATATAAAAGATATGATTAAATTTGTAGAATTTTGGTTGACCTGCTGTTTAGGCTATTATATCTTTTTCTTTGTTATTAAAATCTTCAATAATGGTGGTCACTTTTTAGTACTAACACTGTTGATATAAAAGTATTATGCAGTCCCCCATTTATCATGTCACATCAAACATGTGTTATTAACCCTTAAACGGTCCAAACGTATACTATATACGTTCACTCGCGTAGCGCCCCAAATTTTTTGAGAATTTTTTTTTTTTTTTTTTTATATGTAGGAAAAGAGAGCATATGGTACCCAGGCATCCCCAATTATTTTAATATGGTGCACAGTGAGTGTGCACACCCATTCTCTCATGTTTAGGCAACTCAGGCTTATCATGGCAATGTTGAATGAATGACAAAGAAAACGTATACACCTACCATTCGACTTACGACCTGCGCGACTTACGACGACCTGCATGACTTACGACCACTTGACTTATGACCGTGTTTTTTATGCCAAATTTCTGGGAAATAAACAACTATTTGTGTTGTACACAGTGTTTATCCTAAACCTTACAGTATAAAATACAGTACTAACAGCATAAAAAGTAAAGTAAAACATGAAATACCAAAATAAAACAATAAAATAAAGTCATTACAAAAATGTGATACTGATATTCAGTAGTAAAGTTCGACTTACGTCCATTTCGACTTACGACCGGTTTCTCGGAACCGAACTCGGTCGTAAGTCGGATGGTAGGTGTATGTAAGTTTGGGGTTCTACGCGAGAGAACATGTATATACGTTTGGACCGTTTAGGGGTTAAGGAGTTGTATGCATTTACAGTATAAGTGCACATAATAACTGTGTTTAGTTTTTACAACTTAACTCGCTAGAGTGAGAGATGGGTAAGCATTTAATAAAGATTTCCTTTCTATCCACACTTTTTTCAACTGAAGACTTTTAATGATAGATTTCCTGTGTTCCATGAAAGTGAGCAAGGAGACTGTCTCTGCTTAACTTTTTTGCCCCAACAGTATTTGTTAACATGGCATCATAATTGCCTGAGCTACATGCCATTATGAGAGTGTTAGTTAGTCCCATGTTAAAATATATGTAATATTAATGTACTTTCATTTTCTTTTATGCAGGGTCATGAATTTTTTAGCCCACAAAAGAAAAATTACATTTTCCTAAGATCTTGTTATGATGAACTTAAGCCACGGAGTCGCTAATTAGAGGCTAAAGCCTGAAGTATATTATCCAAGATGACCATAGATGGTTAAATCAAGAAGTGAAGATAAAGAGAATGTGTATATCATCTACTAATAAAGGGCTGGGCTTCATTTTTTTATATATTATCATTTTTGCTTCAGTGAATACTGATATCACTTGTAGTGATGGGACACTAATTTTATATTATCTATTGATGATGTATATGGACAAAAAATAATTTTCAGCTATGAATATAGAGTTTGACAGATTGTTTACCCAGGAGAAAGAAAAGATTTGGAGTATTGCATGTGTAATAACTCTTACCTTATAGGGATTCTGTAGGCACATGACAACATAATTTCTGGTTCTTGTGTGCTATGATTTCTGTTAATTTTAAAGAGCAAGTTTAAAGCTGTAAGTAATCTTAAAATTCATATTTATGTGAATATTCAGTATATACAGTTAGCTTAATTTAGCATTAATATTCAGTTATGTTACTATCTTGCAAAAGTTATGTCTTACTTATTTTATCAGTTATCTACATGCTTATAGAGATTATTAAAGCCAATAAGTATATCTTGTATTATATAATTTCCTGCGCTCTTATTTAGAAACACACATCCACAAATACTTTATACTGCATACACCTCTACGGTCAGATTTGATTAAGCATTTTAAGCTCTCTTCATTTTATTAGTTATTGGTTTAAGGTACAGAAAATCTCTAACATTGCATATGAAAGTCTTATCACACATAACCATATGAAATGGTCATCTAGTTTATTAAAGACCACATTATCAAAATATTGTTCTGAAAAAGTGGTTAAAATTTTAGATTTTTTTACAAGTCAGAAAATATTTCTTAATAAAACTGATTACCAAAACTTGTGTACATTCCATTGTTAACAGTATTGTATTCATTGAACAACTAAACTTAAGAGCATGAGTAAGGATATGTGCTTTTTGAAGAATACTCCTCGCCTTATTTTTTACCAATGCTAAAAGGATGAAGAGACAGATATTCTTTACTGGCATTGTCACAAAATGTAATGGTTGAATATAATTACAATAAACATCATAGTTTTATTAATTACCCATAACTATTGTTAAATATGTTGACAATTGCTGTCATAGTCACTGTATAGAAGAACAGTTACTAAACATATATTCTAAATATTTTCAGTCAGTTAAACAATTTATAAAATTTTTGTACAAAGGGATTCATAGTGTAATAGATCAATGAGCCCAAACAAAGCTGCTTGTGTATGGGAACTTAAATATGGCACAAACAGATCAGTAATGTTGAAGGAGTGTTCTTCAAATTTAATTATAAATTATGGTTTATTTTATCTTGCAGCCAAGTACTTCGTGCTTACCACTTGTTTAAATATACTGATAACCATTTTGCTTTATTGTATTTAACCCTTTCACTGTTAGTGTCATATTAGTATGGCTTACAAGCCAGTGTTGGTGCCGTATTAATACCCCAAAATTCTAGCAGCTCCAGATCTAGCAGGAGGAAGCTGGTAGACCTACATGTGAGAGAATAGGTCTGTGTGGTCAGTATGCACAGTTTAAAAAAAAATCCTGCAGCACGCAGTGCATAATCGAGAAAAAAAACTCCGACTGTGTTTTTGGTCTAAAACACCAACTTTGAGGTGTATTTTTGTGTGATATTTATGGTTGTACTCTCATTTTTGTGGTCTCATTTGATAGAATGGAAGATATATTACAGAAATGGAGAGCTGATGTTCAAGAGTAAACAAATGACGTGACCGTCCAATACGTGTCCAACTGGCCAGTCTAATACACAGTCATGAATGGGTTGACATTATTTATACAATTATTACAATAATGCAGTAATCTGCATAGCAGTAAATCTTCTATTTTTTGTGTGAATAAAAATTCAAAATGGAAAGCAAGAGTAATATAAGGGGGGCTTGGAGACATGACTAATGAACAGAGAAAATGTTATTTTAGTGCCAGGAATGTCTGTATTGTCTATTCTGGACCCTATTTTGAAATTGATATCTTTTGAAATTTGTGTGAAATTGGCCAAATTGCCAATTTCTGACCACTTTATTCAGTAGTTGAAATAGGTAAATGGGCGATTTCTTGTACGTAAACGATAGAAAAAATGGAGTTCTAGCGAAATAGCTATGAGTTCAGTAGACTGGAACAATGGAATTGGCCGAAAATAGGGCTCAAAGTGGGTGAAGTCGCCAATGCTTATATATTGCCAAGACTGCTTTGTAAGAGCATAATTCCATAAGTTTTCCATCATTACCATCATAAAGTTGATATGTTAGCCAAGAAGAGTACCCAGAAGGAGAATGTAGAAAATAACTTTGGTATATCTGTGTTTAGCATTAGGAATAATATTAGGAGAGAAGTAAATAATGAAAATGATTGTTATAGGAATGCAGTTAGAAGCCTGAGTAGATCTATAACCCACTATGATAACATGAACATAGATAAGCATGTTTATGGAGCAACTTGCAATGTGAACAGATTGACTGATGTTGTAGTGGCCAAGCTTAGGCTTGGTTACAAGTATTTCTGGCAGTTTGGGAGACACACAGATGATGATCAAACTAAATGAAAATTATGTGATCAGGCATATGGTCACTGTCTTGAACACTATGTGCTTAATTGTCACTTATTGAGGAATACAGAGACAGACAGTATATAATAACCTATGTGACATGTCAAGATTTTTTTTTTTTTTTTTTCAACAAGTCGGCCGTCTCCCACCAAGGCAGGGTGACCCAAAAAAGAAAGAAAATCCCCAAAAAGAAAATACTTTCATCATCATTCAACACTTTCACCACACTCACACATTATCACTGTTTTTGCAGAGGTGCTCAGAATACAACAGTTTAGAAGCATACACATATAAAGATACACAACATATCCCTCCAAACTGCCAATATCCCAAACCCCTCCTTTAAAGTGCAGGCATTGTACTTCCCATTTCCAGGACTCAAGTCCGGCTATATAAAATAACCGGTTTCCCTAAATCCCTTCACTAAATATTACCCTGCTCACACTCCAACAGCTCGTCAGGTCCCAAATACCATTCGTCTACATTCACTCCTATCTAACACACTCACGCACGCTTGCTGGAAGTCCAAGCCCCTCGCCCACAAAACCTCCTTTACCCCCTCCCTCCAACCCTTTCGAGGACGACCCCTACCCCACCTTCATTTAAATCCCTACAGATTTACACGCTCTCCATGTCATTCTACTTTGATCCATTCTCTCTAAATGATCAAACCACCTCAACAACCCCTCTTCAGCCCTCTGACTAATACTTTTATTAACTCCATACCTTCTCCTAATTTCCACACTCCGAATTTTCTGCATAATATTTGTACCACACATTGCCCTTAGACAGGACATCTCCACTGCCTCCAACTGCCTCCTCGGTGCAGCATTTACAACCCAAGCTTCACACCCATATAAGAGTGTTGGTACACTATACTTTCATACATTCCCTTCTTTGCCTCCATAGATAATGTTCTTTGTCTCCACATATACCTCAACACACCACTCACCTTTTTTCCCTTATCAATTTTATGATTCGCCTCGTCCTTCATAAATCCATCCGCTGATACGTCAACTCCCAAATATCTGAAAACATTCACTTCTTCCATACTACTCCTCCCCAATTTGATATCCAATTTTTCTTTATCTAAATCATTTGATACCCTCATCACCTTACTCTTTTCTATGTTGACTTTCAACTTTCTACCTTTACACACACTCCCAAATTCGTCCACTAACCTCTGCAATTTTTCTTTAGAATCACCCATAAGCACAGTATCATTAGCAAAAAGTAACTGTGTCACTTCCCATTTTGTATTTGATTCCCAATAATTTAATCCCACCCCTCTCCCGAACACCCTAGCATTTACTTCTTTTACAGCCCCATCTATAAATAAATTAAACAACCATGGTGATATGTAGATATAAATCCATGTGCACTCCTGTTAACCCTTTGGGGCCTAGTTCCTAGGTCTTTTGTGTATCCATATGCTCTTGCGCTACCGTCCACAGGATGGATATGGGGTGCACAATAAACTAGCCACTTTGGTGGTAAAATCTAATCTTTTTTTTTATTTTATTTTTTTATTATCAACCGCCGATTCCACAAGCATGGTGGCCGAAACAAATAACAATTTCACCATCATTCACTCCATCACGTCGTTGCCATAAGGGTGCTTACACTAAACAATTTTTTAATCTCAACATTACACCCCTGCTTCAGATGCAGGCACTTTTTCATCTCCAGGACTCGTCCGGCCTGCCGTTTCCCTGAATCCTTCTTATGAATTTTACTTTGCCACTCAACAGACCCAAGTATAAAACCATTTAGTCTCCATTCACTCCTCAAACACCCACGCATTTGGAAAAGATTTCTAATCTCACTTTAAGACAAATATTTGGTTAGAAATTCCCTTCAACCAGCACAGTTCGCGGCGGCATTGTTTGCAGCTGCAAGGTAAATAATGAACTAACAGTTTAATATTAAAATTTTTTGTATTTTTGTGTATCAGTTACTTGACCTGAATAGGTAATATATGGACAAAATTTGTGAATTAAATTGTGGTGCCCTCTGGCATTTTTTAAAATTTCTTGGGCCGTCTTTGAAAATTTTTCACTTTGCACATCATAATACAGTGGACCCCCGCATACCGTTGGCCTTGCATAACGTTAAATCCGCATACCGCTACATTTTATCACCAAGATTTTGCCTCGCATACCTCTAAAAAACCTGCTCAACACTGTTCGTCCGAGACGCGTCTAATGTGCGCCCTTAGCCAGCCTCACATGTTCCGCCGGTGGCATTGTTTACCAGCCAGCCTCCGCGGTAACATCCAAGCATACAATCGGAACATTTCGTATTATTACAGTGTTTTTGGTGATTTTATCTGCAAAATAAGTGACCATGGGCCCCAAGAAAGCTTCTAGTGCCAACCCTACAGCAATAAGGGTGAGAATTACTATAGAGATGAAGAAAAAGATCATTGATAAGTATGAAAGTGGAGTGCGTGTCTCTGAGCTGGCCAGGTTGTATAATAAACCCCAATCAACCATCGCTACTATTGGTGGTACAGCTGCTGCTGCTGCTGTACCACCGTCAGCTGCTGCTGCTGCTGCTGTAGTACCGTCTGCTGCTGCTGTAGCATCGTCTGCTGCTGCTGTAGCACTGTCAGCTGCTGCTGCTGTTGTACCACCGTCAGCTGCTGCTGCTGCTGTTGTACCACCGTCAGCTGCTGCTGCTGCTGTTGTAGTACCATCTGCTGCTGCTGTAGTACCGTCTGCTGCTGCTGTAGCATCGTCTGCTGCTGCTGTAGCATCGTCTGCTGCTGCTGTAGCACTGTCAGCTGCTGCTGCTGCTGTACCACCGTCAGCTGCTGCTGCTGTACCACCGTCAGCTGCTGCTGCTGCTGTAGTACCGTCTGCTGCTGCTGTAGCATCGTCTGCTGCTGCTGTAGCATCGTCTGCTGCTGCTGTAGCACTGTCAGCTGCTGCTGCTGCTGTACCACTGTCAGCTGCTGCTGCTGCTGTAGTACCATCTGCTGCTGCTGTAGCATCCTCTGCTGCTGCTGTAGCATCGTCTGCTGCTGCTGTAGCACTGTCAGCTGCTGCTGCTGCTGTACCACCGTCAGCTGCTGCTGCTGCTTTAGCATCGTCTGCTGCTGCTGTAGCACTGTCAGCTGCTGCTGCTGCTGTAGCACTGTCAGCTGCTGCTGCTGCTGTAGCACTGTCAGCTGCTGCTGCTGCTGCTGCTGTAGCACCGTTGTTGGTGTGGCTTATTGAGAATACCAAGAAACAATTAACCCCAGAGGATTTGCCACCCAGGATAACCCAAAAAAGTCAGTGTCATCGAAGACTGTCTAACTTATTTCCATTGGGGTCCTTAATCTTGTCTCCCAGGATGCAACCCACACCAGTCGACTAACACCCAGGTGAACAGGGAAAAATGCCTGGAACTAGTGCTCATATTGGTGAATTTAAAGCCAGCAAAGGTTGGTTTGAGAGATTTAAGAATCGTAGTGGCATACACAG